ATCACCTCACCTCACTTCAGCTGTCTAGAAATTAGACATCCAGACTTGACTGGTCATTTAGTCAAAGAAGAAACAGGCAGTAAATGTAAGCAAGAGAAATCTTTGGGAATTCTTTACCTTGGGTTAAGAGTAAATGGGGTAAATAAAGTTTGAAATTGAAAAAAAGACCTACACAATCAAATCCCAGAATACCTGTCTGAATTTTTTCAATTTTGAAAAAAGGCAACATAAGCAAAATGATGAGAGGAGTGATCCTGGTGGGTGGGGGGACAGGCCAGCATTCTCAGTACAGGTTCTAATCTAAGTAGACAAGTAAATGCTCAAACTGGAAACAACACAAATATCAATGGTTTGGTTTAATTAAAAATGGACTTACAACCCCGTCTTGTAACATCAAAATCATTGCATCACCTATCTTACCCATCACTGTTGGACTTGCTGGCTGCAGTACTAAAATGGGGGTTTATGTGACTGGAGCTCTGACTACACAAGTACACAGGTGTTTGTGGCCCACATTCAGAATCTTATTTCATAAATCCCTACAATCAGGTAAAATACCATGAAAGGAAAATTAAACACAGATGGTTTTATCAATATGGCAACAGCAGCATATTTATAACTGAGCCACAGAATAACAGTATAGGGAATACCACTACTCTGATTCAATTTATTGCTCGCTGATTATTTTGAGAATGCAGCATTATCTCTTTATTACAACACGTTGTCCTGACTCCACTTTTAAATCAGCATTATCAAATTCATCCTTGGTGCAACACTAAAATCATCAGCCCAGCTCAACAGGGTTGCTCTGAAGCCTTGTGTGTGGAACACATTCAGCTGAATGGGATAAAGCTGAGACACTGCTTTTTTATAAGAGCAAACTTACTGAACTTGAACTCATGATTGGATTCGGGAAAAGCTACATTTTTTTAAACACACTCTTTTCTTCATTTGGAGAGCATTAAACTTCAGCAGTTATTACATACAGGTGATTTCACAGCACTTATCTTCAAGTGCCAAAACTTGCCTTTATGTGATGAAAAGGAAATAGTCATAAATCTTCCTTATGCCATAAATATCTTTTAGAACAGCAATGTTAAAATAAGCAGAAATGGACAGCCCTATTTTCATACATGGAAGCAATGGAAGAATAACCTTCCTGAGGCTACCAAGACAGAGCTGAACTGTTGATTGTACTGTATATGGAGTACTGAGATCTGGGCACATAGATCCCATGACTCCTCCAGGCACTGAGGTGCCTGAGAAACCAGTAATTCTCAGATGATTCAGGTAGATTAGCACCACTTTTTTCAATCCCAGGAACAAATCAGCAGGAAACTGGGAGGAAGCTGAGAACCATAAATTTCCTTGTGGTCACAGTGTCTGCATTAACTTTTTATAAATTTTTATTTACGCATTTTTTACCAAGTTGTTCACTGTACTAAATAAAAGAACTAATGAAGATTTGTAAAGGATGTCACAGTATTACATATATGTGACAGACCTCAAGAGACTAGTACTAATCAGGAGTAAGATTTTGGGATTGTCATATAAACTTTCTGTGAAAATTGCAGTTTAGTGTCTGGCACCATCTCAGAAGACACACTGTCAGGAATTTATGGATGTGGAAATAGAGTACATAAAGAAAGGGAGCCTACAAGAAAGATGGAGAGGAGAGTGCCTGTTTACAAGGGGGAATGCCTTCACACTAACAGAGGGCAGGATTAGACTGGATATTAGGAAGAAATTTTTCCCTTTGAGGGTGGTAAGGCCCTGGTACAGGTTTCTCAGAGAAGCTGTGGATGCTCCATCCCTGGAAGTGTCCAAGGCCAGGTTGGACGAAGCTCTGAGTTCTAGTGGAAGATGTCTCTGCCCACGGCAGGGGAGTGGAATGAGGTAATATTTAAGGTCCCTTCCAACCCAAACCATTCTGGGATTCTAAGATTCTAGGAAATATCTTGAATGTTCTGAATAGCATGCACAGTTCTGCCTTACCACCTCACGGGTTGCAAGGTGCTGGAAAAGGCAGAGGGAAGGTAGCAGGGTGATCCTTTTACAGCTTCCAAGTAAGGAAAATTTTAAAAGACCAGAAATACTTAACTTTGAAAGCAGACAATTGAAAGAGTAAGTGGCATGGAGAAGGAAAATAGGGACTGGTGCTCATTGTCTCTTCCAATACAGGAATTCAGGGACAGCAAAGGAAATGACCATGTGGGGGTTTCACTTCTCTACACAACACATAGGCTGTGAAATTCTCTACCATGGGGTGCTAGAGATGTCAAAGGTTTACAGTGGGCTCACACCCACATCTAGGGTGTTTTACAACCAGAAAAAAAAAAGACAGTCAGAATGTAAATGGGTTTTTCTTTTAGCTTTTGTTCCCCAAGACAAAACCTAGGGATTGCCAACATCTGAGCTGGTTTTCACCCCTCAGTGCTTGCAAGCAGCTCCACTACATCCCATGTTCCATAAAGGCTACTTCCAGCTTACAAAAGAAAAAAAACCACGTTTTTTATTCTGATAAACAAGGTATGTTGCATTTAACAACATGGGCAGTCTTGCTTGCATCACTGGCCTTTGCCCTATCACTAGGTGCCCACAAACCATCCAACTCCTTGGGTTGTCACAACTACATGTAGACGGTAAAACTGCTTTCACAGTTATACTACAACTTCCTGTCTTCTCTACCTCACCTACCAGCCTTCTCTGGTACAGTTAGTCCTCTAAGCCATTTTTGCAACATTTCTTTCCTAAGCTATTTAGCTTTTAAAATTTTTTACCTACACCTGTTGTCTCTTACTATACCACAGCCAGGTACATGCCACCCATGGTCCTGCACTTCAATACCAAACACTTCCCTGGCAAAAGGCTGGGCAGCTGCCCCAAAGGGGGCAAGTGATGTCTATACATCTCATTATAACCAAAAAAATTAAATTCTTTGATAAATAAAAGGATAATAGAAATGGCAAGGATTCAAAGCCAGCTCATCTCCTTTTTGACCTGCCCTTGATTCTTGTAGAATCAGGCTCCCCGATTTGGAGAGCACTTTCAGCTAGACCTGATTTTTACAGCATATCCATTTCCCATGGCACCATGTTCAACTGGAAACCAAGCCACAGACATATCTGCCACTTCTCAGTTCTGAAATATGTGTGTATTTCTGAAGGATGTCCACTTGTGAAAAACACAATTAGTCAGATCTATCTATCCATTATATTCCTTGACAAATTAAAGTAACAGTGTAGATCTCCAGTGCAACAATTTATATTCCCAGCTTAACAGGTTTTAGGCCACTAAAATCTGAAATATACTTCTGATTTACTGCTTTAATGTATTTAAATGCTATTCCATTTATATCAATTTAATTGGTGTTACACTTTCCACAAAACAGCTACCATAACTCCTTCTCTTAGAGGATGCTGCTTGAAATGACTGAATTTTTCTTAAAAATCAGATAAATCTGTTAATCTGTACAAAGCCCCTTGTGGCCACTTGCTTAGTTGTTTATTTTTTTTTCCTTTTTGTTTTGTTTTACCTCTGATAGTCTCACAGTTGATGGATGCAGTACAACTACCATCTAATTAAATTGCTGGAGAGTTTAGCAGTTGATAAATACAGTTTATCAAAAAACCATCACTCAAGCTCTCACTCAGAGATACTGGTAAGTGCATTAAACCAATGTAAGCAACTTTTAAATAAGACAGTTCAGGTTTAGTACATATCCAGAAGATAACTTCCATTTGACTTTATGATATTTTTCAATAGTAGAATATGATATAAGCACCAGCAAAGTAACATTTGGAACAACTAATTCAACAAAAGGAGTTGGCACTGTGTACAGTCTCTCTGAAAGCCAGGTACTTAAAGCATTTTTAAAAGTATGTTTTCTTCAGTGTAGGCAGCACATTGAGTCACAGCATAAATATAACTATGCACACATCCACACTGTGTATTTACACACACAGTAAGATCAGGCTGCGGGGTAACAGAATTCCTTTTTTCACAAGAGCACTAAGGATATTTCTCTTCTGGGCAGTCTCATGTTCACAGGCAGCTGCCCCACGGCCTTGTAGATTTTCTAGGCAGAGGATCTGTGCAGCCAGTCCCTTTAACCACAAACTGGCCCCAGCTATTCCAGCATTTGTGAAACAAATTCAAACCCATGAAGGGAAATGAATATTCCATTTTTTATAGGCTCACGTCTTCTAAAATGAATAATGATTTGAGTATTTCAGCTGACCTGAGTTCGGGTAGAAATTCAGTAACATTATCTGATCTTCAGAGATCACCTGCTCTTTTGATGGTTTAGCTTCAGTATTAAAAATCTGAAAAACTTATAATTTTGAGTTTGTGTTTTAACTTTCATTTGATTTTGCAGCATTGTCAAAATGAGACACTCTTGTAAATCAAAGAATAACAACCAGTCTTATTCTGTAATTACACGACTATGAAGAGAAACATAAATGCAATACTATAATTCTACTTTAGTTTTTACTTATTTGTCTTTCATTATCTGTAGATCACTCAAGACTAATTAATTCTGAGCCAAACAGTTTTCATAAGTAAATTTTTAGCCACAAAGTGAATTCATTGATTTTTCCCATTTTTGCATTACTGCACACAAAAGCACCAAAAGCTCACAAAACCCCACAAAAATAACTAATGCATTCCTTACATGCTCTTGAGATAATATTACTGCAAATTCCTGACTTCAGTATTCCAGTAATGTTTCAGGCTCCAGTTTGAGTGAGTTTCTCAAATTACAATTCCACACCATTGAATTTCTAAGCAATGAAATCCTATATAACCACAAAGCCCTCTGTCTTACTGCAGCCATTATATAAAAAAATGGAGAATAAATAAATGGAGGCCATTTATTTATTCTTTCCTAAAATGCTATCTTTAAATGTTTTATGATATCAGCCAGCAAAGGAAGTGTTTGGTGGCAAGTCATTTACACCATATATTAAACAAAAAAAGTGCAGTTCCATCAAACATACCTCCACAAGCCTGCTGGTATGTTCTCGAAATATAGCAGCATATTCCTTTATTTCTTTCTCTCTTCCATTTTTAGCAGCTTCAATGAGAACTAGAAGTGGAACAGTGGTATCTAAGAAGGAGTCTGAGATGTGATCTATAATGGCTTTACGGAGCTGCAAAAGAAAGCATTACATTAGTACCTGCTAACTGGGCTATTTATTAAAGTCTACTATAATTACTGGCCATTAATATTTTATAACATAAACATCTACACACTGTATTCCTACATTATTTGCAAGATTGTGTGTCTGAAACCTACTGCAGCTGCAATTTATCTGTTACACAGAAAACTGTATTTAATTTTAGGGACAATTTTAATATGCCACTACCTAAATACGTATGTTTGTAAGTGTAAATGTCTGTGTGTGTGTGTACAGACACATGAAACACAACATATACTAGTTTTCTTGAAATCAAGGGAACAAATATTCCCCTTTCTTGATGACAAAATAGACTACTTACATGATTTCACACGTGAAAAATTAGTTAGACCAGATCTCATGTGTCCTGGGTATTGTCCCTTGTAACTCAGATGCCAAGGGAGCAGTCTATTTAATTTTATAGAGAAAATATTAATTTAATTATGTTTGCACTCCCAAAATAGTCTTCATCACACGTTTTCATAATTGTAAAATTACCCAAATATTTTCTTGTTGGGAAATCCAACAGCAGAGTCTGATTTGCAAGATGGTCGCCTTCATGGTAATTATGTCACCGAGATTACTGATTATGCCACCTGATAACATATTAATAGAGCAAGAAGAACTATAAATGAGTCTGAAGTTCAATTTGCTCTGCTAAAATTAATTGTTCTCGAACTTCTTAAATTATTAATGAAGTGTAACATTCTGCTAGAAATTATCCCTTTTAAATCAGGTTTCACATAAGTTTATAACTCATCTCCAGGACATTACAGCACTTAAAGGGTTATTCTGCATGTTATAAACCCATACATGACAATTATTCAATTTAATCATGGAACACTGAACAAACATACCAGTTGTAGCAATACATGCAATGTAACTAAATTATCAAGTTTGCTGAATTTCCTACTGCAAAAATGTTACTTTTACAATATACAGAAAAGATATTGATTGGGACAGAAAAGGAAACAAAGTATTTGGAAGCACTGACAGGGTTGTTGCCAAAGTAGATGTTTTCACTCAGAATTTTGCCCCAATGCACCTGTGTGAAAACTCAGTAGAAGTAAAGGCTCCTACCACTAGAAAAATGCAAAAACCCACAGTCTTTTTGATGATGCTGTGCTTGTAGGTCAGGCAGTGACCATACACAGCAGAAATAATAGCAGAGAAATCTGTTGATTATCACAAAAAGATTTGGATATGAATTCCACCACTAGCTTGGGATAGCCTCACCATCTAAAGCCAGCTCTCATTGACTCACCAAGGGGACAGACAAATCTTCCAAAAAACACACATGTTTGGAATGGTTTCTTTGTCTTCTAACTTGCTGCAGCCTATCCCATTGGGAGATGCTATCTGGACACACTGTCTGTTTTGAAAGGAATTTAGAAAGACAAAGGCTATGCGATTCCAATAATTGGATTTTTTACATTCTCAGCTTCATTCAGGCTGGAATTAAAAAAAAAAAAAAAAGTTATTAAAAAGTTTTGAAAACTTTCACCAGTAGGAAAGCATATGTTGAACCTCCAGTCCTGATAAGTTACCGGTTAAAAATTTTCTGCTGGAAAGGCCCAACTGAAGAAAACAGACTTTTTTTCCCATTTAAAATTAATTTCATGAATGTGACCTTGAAGAATCACAGTTTAAAACTTAAGATTTCAATTTACAACAAAAAGCAACAAAAACCTGTGGAACCATTATATCCATGGCTGATGATTCATTATCTCCAAGAGAAATATTTTTGGGTTCTGCGTAGCCCAGGCTGTAGGACTTTCGCAGCCTTAGTGTATTATCTGAGGACCAGTGACTGTAATAACCTCAGTCACATTTGTAGTGAGCTTGAGGCATCCAATTTCAAACTAGCAGACTAATTTTATCTCTCATTGCATAATTCTTTGCTATAGCTTTTTACTGGTTTGCTTGGTTTAATTAACCTCTCACATATAAATTATCACTATTATTTTGTTCTAAGAAATCCACTATCCTGCAATTAAACAGCAGATCGTACCTTCTTAAAAAAAAAAAAAAAGGATAATGCTGTGTCTTTATTGAATACAAACAAGTTTGAAATTATGTTCCAGTTTCAAGTCTTCAAAAGAAATACATGAAGCTGAGATTTTTCAAAGGATGGTTCACGTAGCATTAAAGAACCAAGAAATGCAATGTAGAACAAAAGAGGGGAAAGACAAAAGAAAAAAAGGAATATCTGAAGCAATATCTTATTTCTTTTCATCCTAAACATAACTGTTTTCATGACTCAGTAAGTCTGACTCTGGCCACCTCTAGAGCAAAATGCTAACAGCAAACCACATAGGGAGGCTTACAAACAGACACAGGAGAGCAGCAGCAGTGCTGGCAGGCAATGCTAGCGAAGTTATTATGCTATAATTAAAACTTTTCTCATATTTTAAGTGAAAGAGACACCATCACAAGAGGGAAAGCAGGGGAGGATGATGCCTGACAAACTGTTTTATTTTTAAGATGCAAGGTCTTGTTCTTACCCTTTGAGCAGACTGTTGCAGAAGCAGAAGCATGGGGAATTTTTGTTTTGATATCAAAGCGCATTAAAAAATAATATAGAAAGATGTTGTTTATAAAACATGGGGCATAAGGTTGTTAGAAACAGTGGAAGGTAGAGAAGAAAATGCCAGCAGCTGTTTACAACACTATTAAACATCAGTATTCTGATGAGTACAGAAAACTGTGTTTGCCTCTATTTGCCTCTTGCCTCAAAAGACTATCCTGGCAAAAGTCCTGGACAAACCACAGATCAGTTATTATTGAGGGATCTCTCTTTCCTGTCTCGAAGGGATGCCAGCAAGGCAATCTCCTTTGTGTTCAGAAAAAGCTATCCATGATGAAGAAGTAACATCGAAATATAAGAACATCCTGAGGAATAACATTTATAAAAACAACCAACCAGCCAAAACTGCAGCAAACCATAGGAGAAACATCTGTGCAGTCCATTCACGCTACACTGGGAAACAACTGGGAGGCAAGAACCGAGTACGGTAATTTTCCATAATTAGAAATTAGAATGAATAGGCAATTCCTTCTTAAATATTCATACAGCTCTACTAGGAAGGAACAGTGACCTAGGCAAAGCTGCACACCCAGAAATGGCATGCACATCTCTGGCACAAAGCAAGTAAAAATCAAAACAAAGCAGAATAGCTTAAAATCTACACAAGTAGCGGCCAAGTTCTTGAAGTGAATGCAAATAACTTCCCTCAAAAAGCCAGAAACCTTTCACAACTTCCAGGATACACTATTACTGAGGTGGCTGCCTTTGCCTTCAGGTCTTGTCAGACACGAGCCCTCTTTCACCTCACTTCCTGAGACCTACAAAGGTGTTCCAAAGGGGGCCATGGCACAGCCCATAATCAGGCTGGTGCCTGGGCCAGCATCTGTGTGATGGTTCTCTTTATTGGGTACTATGAAGAGACTCCCAAAATGCAAGTTCATAAGGTTTGATGTTTAACCCCAATTTTGCAGAGGCAATGCCAGCAATGACTGAAAGCAGAGTGTACACCATAGGCCCAAATCCACTGTGAGTGACTGATGGAACACCAAAGACGATACACAGTATCATTTTTTAAAAAAAAGGTATTATAAAAGCTATAAAGAGTAGAGCAAACAACAATTTTCATGTTTCTTGTAAAATTGCTGGGAGACAAAATAATGAATGTTCATAAGTGAAAGCAAATAAGGCGCTACTGCAATATCTGCTGGCACAGAACTCACAATTTCATGTTTCCCAGATCAGGAATTAGGCATGCAGTAAGCACCCTTCCTAAAACAATTCTTATGCAATTCACATGTATGAACATAAAACAGGAGACAGATGAAATATTTCTCATAAATACTTTCCAGTGGAAAATGTCAAGAAGCCACTGAGCTATTCTGGTTAGAGAAAATTACTGGTTCTAGATTGGCTATAAATTGGGCATAATTACGTTCAGCCTGAACATTTTCCAAAGGTTTACAGAAAGACACAAATTGACTTAGTTAATAGCTTTTAACCACTGTAACAGAGTCAATAAACTGTTATAATTTGGAGTTTAATTAACGTATGGAAGAGATTGTAGGGCAGAATAGGATTGTTCCTAGACACACTGAGCTCGTGATGTAAGTTGCCAGGTCTCTGCTCTGAACATATTTTTCACAGAAAGTAAGCAGAAATTGGATAGTTGGTTAGTAACAAATATATACATAGACCTATAATATATATTTATTTGATATTCATCTCATCTTTCAAGGCTTCCCCTGGTTGATTATGGGAGCAGAAAGGAATTTATTCATCATTTTGAAGCACAGGCTGGCTTGTAAAACTGTACACGAAGTAGGGAGGGATATTTTTCCATCAGAGGGTTGTTAAATAGCCACAGCTAGAGGCAGGACCAAAACAGTGTGTGCTCATGTTCTGTGCAGCCATGAACTTTCCTATAGTTGGGGCAGCCTGGTTGAAATAACTACTGGCTTTCCAGTTTTCTTTTCTAAACTGGCACATGATAAACCTTCAACAAAATCTACAATTTTTCTCGAAGAAGTTTCTGGCAGAGAAAAGATGTTGTGGATTTTGGTCCATGCCTCACACTATTTTGGGGATGCTAGGATGCAAAGCAGGTGGGTGGACTGTGGACCAGGTATTCCAAGGACTTTGTGCTATAAGAGTTCTCAGAACTGTGAAGACCTTGACATAGTGACTCCATAGTTCCTTCACGCTGTCTGTTCCAACAACCAATAATAATTTAAGCTTATACAAAATAAAAAGAATCTTGATGTCCAGAGTACATTACTAATATATATCTATAGAAAATATATATTTAGAGATGTATACAAGCAGAGATTTGCCTATGTACAAATATATCTTCAGCCAGTATAATTTGGATTTTTCCCAGAGTTTCAAAAACTTGTATGCGTATATCCCATGGAATAGTGCAACTATTTTCAATATTTTTTTAATATGGTAAAAAAAACCCTCTTTGTTTTCAAAATGCATAAACTGAAAATAGCAATTTTGAAAGGCATCCTTCAAGACCCTTTTCTAACTCTTCCTTTCCCCAGGTTGCTCACCTGTCTGCGGAGATCTCTTGTCTTCTTGCACATACTGTCTATTGCCACGTTCAAGGCATTACTTCTCTCTTTCTTGTCAGTCTGTAATAAATGTGACAGAAAACACAAAGATGGTTAATTGTGATTTCTCAGCAAGCATGTTCTTTTTGTCCTCAGTTCAGCAGAGCATTTGGTAAATCATATATGTGTACAGATTTTTGTCAGATTTTAATACGTTTCAAGAGCCAATATGCACAGAATGCCAATTTGTGGTGATAAGCGTAATTTGCTGAATGAAAACATATGCTTTAGCAGCAGTCTATAAAAACAAAATTAAAAACTTTTCAACTTCTGAATTGCTGTAATATTCTTACTGTAATCCGGGGTTACTTGTGGAAGAACATTAATAGAATTATTATTATTACTATTGATGTCAATCCATTATCACCATATTCATGTGAAAAATAATGTTATCTGTCTACAAACAAGTCATAAATTCAGATGCCCACAATGCAGTTTGGTAATGCTTTAGTTTGCAGCACTCATTATTTAATTCCTGGAAAACAGAATGGGGGAGTTTCAAAATGTCCAAGCTGTTGCAATGAAATGATGTTGTTTCATTGCTCATGAAATAGTACCTCTTCATTTAACAGCACATTCATTCTCAGCATCCAGAAGATTGAGTTCTTGTGATACCGGAGAGGTCTTAAGAGAATCAGTTGTACACTTCCTAAACAATGTTATTTTTTTTCATTTGTACCTATAGGCAAAGTGCTTCTATCATTGTTAGCTATTTGAAAAGTGCAGTTAACACTTTTATTGGACTGCCCAGCATATTTTCTGTACAATATCACCATAATAGCTCTGTGTCTTATAGCTAGTTGGGATATTTTTTTTCCCTGTTAGCAAAGAAACTACAGGAAAAATCAAAATGCCTGATGAAGTTTGTTTCCCTAAAGCAAACAATCATTACTCACTACCTTTGGACTGCCCTGGTCTGAAGGAAAGAACCACAAACACTGAAAGTGTCTTTACACAAAGTCTTAAGTCAGTGCTCGACATTTACAGCAAAAAGAACCAGATTCTCATAAATGTTGAACAAATAGCTGTGTATACTGACCACAGCATCTGGACCTCAGGGAGAGTACACCAGGATGTCTGTATTATGAACATGACTCTCCTGTTTTGCAAATAATATTAAAATTAATATAGAATTTGTAATATCTCAGTAGGCACCTAAGTGTATCTACCAGATAACAAGGCACCTTGTTATCTACAATAAATCATACGTCAGTCAGTGTTATTTCCTTGCTAAAAAAAACAAACAAACAAAACAAAATAATCTGTGAACAGAGCAATATGCCTAATATTAAAGCAAAGATTAGAGATGATCAGGAAAAAACCTTTACATTAAAACTGAAAGCGCAATGTAATAAAATGAATGCCTTGAAATTATTAGTCTAAAGGGAACAATTACTTTAAAAATTGAGCTTATATATTCAGGGGACTTAGAAATTCTCCTGTGATTTTTCTATTTCTGAAATTGCTTACAGGTCTTGGAGAAAGGTCTGAACTTCACCTTAAAACCTTCAAGGAATCCCTAAAGGTAGACATTCACTTTTTATACCATGGTAATGCAATCGGTTCTCATACCAAAGCTTGCACGGGAACCAAAGCAAATAATGTCTCCTCTACTATGTTTTGTAAGTTATTGTAAAACTTGACAAGAAAACTTATCCCTTCAAAAAACTACCAGGTAAACAGGGCCAGTAAAAGCACTGTGGATACAACTCAGCTTATGCCTATGCATTTTCAGACTACAAAGATGGCACATGCTTTGAAAGCTTTATAGTCAGAGCCTATTTTCCACTAAGACAGAATCAATGTAAAATACTGGGATTTTTTTTTTTTTTTTTTAGTTCTCTAGTAATGTCCAACTTCAAAGGTGGCAACTAATGATACAACTGGCTCTAAACAAACCTAAACCTAAACCACTCAGTCAACGAGTGGCATATATTGAACGGAAAACAAGGAAAAAAAATACTTTATTTGCAAATTCTTAACATTGTCAATAGTCAATGTCTAGAAAGCAAATCTAACTTTAACCTAAGTTATTCTTCACCTCATGTTTTCCCCAAAAGCCAAATAAGCTGTAAAATGCAGCTTCAGGCTGTAGAATGTGGACATTTCCAGAATGCAGGTAACCTCAGAACTGCAGATTCTCTTTCTTCTTCAAAGAAATTTAAAGAGCAAAAACCCCACACTGCTGTTCGCATAAATCCTGTTTATAAAGACTTTAGAATTTCTAAATTGTGTACAGTCCTTTCAAGTCAGAGGGACACCTGACTACAAAGTCTCCTGTGGGAACACTCCTAAACATCAATGGCCTCGTGCTGAGTTCTCCAGTCACCCATTGGTCCCACATACCTTTAGATGCTGAATTACTCCTTCAAGTTTTTATTCCTCTACACTCTTCCACCTCAGATCTGTACACGACAGTTACAGTTCAAGATCTAGACTAGATGATTACACTTTTTAAGAACTGAAAAAGACCAGATTTAATATTTTAAAAGTGTCTATTAAAATGATGGCACAGTGAAACTAAACGTGATCCAAACACCCCTACACTGCTCCACTCTCCAGTGATAGAGCTCACAGGTCTGTATTTGCAACACTCTGCATCTACTTGTCTATTAACATTCTTATAACTGCTGTACTTCAAAACAAACAAACCTATCCTGAAATAGTTCCTTCTTGTACAGGGTGACTGAATGAGGATAAGAGGTAGGAAAAATATGCAAACAATTCTGGGCCTGGATTTCAAAAAACAGGCAGTTGAGCTCTCTCCTTTCAGTTTTCCTGCATTCACCTACTGGTTTTTTTCTGTTAAATATATGTAATAGTAGTGATATGGCTCCCTTGTAAAGATTCTAAAAGCAGTATGCCACTCCTATTTCAATGCATTTTTAAAATTTGAAACATTTTACAAGCACTAAGTCACGCTGTTATTAATACTCCACTAAGTGAAAATAAGTATTTTTAATTAACACTGGATAGCCTGAAATAAATGCTGGGTGTTGCCAATAATAACACAGGCCTACTATTTCACACACTGGCAAACAGCAGGAGCTGAGTGACTCAAAAACCACATGTGCAGAAAAACTTTCCCGCTGAATTTTCATTTAAAACAATCCATATTTAAGGGCAGATTCTCATCTGAACACAGGACTATCTCCCCACTGGTTTTAATGGACTTCATTTAAATCATAATTTGGTCAGGACTACTTAAATGATCATCTAATTTCTTCTAGTGCTCAGGCTAATAGACATGAGCTAAATTTATAAACACTTATATAAAAAAGGATATATAAGAGGACACAATCATCCATAAGTATTAAAACAGCAAATACTATTCATTACATCAGTCAGTGAACACTCCCACTTTAGCCATAATCCACAATTCAGTTACAACAGAGAACTGAAGTACTCTCATTAGCAGGACTAAACCAAACAAGTGAAATGGAGCAGTTTATTTGGGTATGTACTGGTGATAAAGTAGTCACAAGGATTTACTTAAACCTTGCAAGGCTGCACTCCTTACAGAAATCACTTCTGCATCCCCTCTGAAGGTCCTGAACCTCTACTGGATATAGAGGGTGGGGAGAGAGAATTAATTTGGTAGGTTGAGGGTTTGTCTTGTAAATAGTCCCTCAAAATACTCATATTTAAAAACAAAAACAAACAAACCAACCACAAGAACCCCAAACAAACAAAAAGCAAAAAGCAAAACACAAACTTCTAAAAGTAAATTGTAATAGGCCTTCACAAAGCACCCTGGATATTTTGGACATACACACCTGAAGGAGATACTGGGATTTCAAATATAAAATCAATATTTTTCAGAACTAGTCATACATGTTCTAAACCACATCTGTAGTCTCTAGCCTCTCCATGTTGTGGAGTAAAAAGGAGCAATTCCATGACAAGAACAGATACCTGCTGAATTCCGTATTCCAGAACTGCTGGAGTCTTAGCTATAAACTTAAAAAACTACTTTATTTTCATCCTGTTCAGATATATTCACATATATATATATATACACACACATATTCATATATATTCACATATTCAGATGGAACGTCATCTTGCCTTCCTGGATTTACACATTAATCTAAATAAATATAAGCTGAAACAAAGCAGTGATACTTCACTGGAATGTTTAAAATTACGTACATTTTTAAAACCAAATACATAACTTTAAGCCATATTGTTCTCAAAGACTCTCCTGGAAGTAGATTTCCATACTTAAAGACCTATGGCCCCAAAACACGTTTTGTTTCATGGGATGTGCCTGTTCCCAAATACTCATTGTACAATCCTGGGAGGAATGAATAAAAAAAAGAAATCCAATCTGCTGCCATGACTTCCTTTGTTTATCAAAGAATCATAGAATGATTTGGTTTGGAAAGGACTCAAAAGATCATCTCATTGCAATCCCCTGCCACGGGCAGGGACACCTTCCACTAGCCCAGGTTGCTCCAAGCCCCATCCAGCCTGGCCTTGGACACTTCCAGGGATGGGACAGCCACAGATCTTCTGGGAACATGTGCCAGAGCCTCTCCACCCTCACAGGGAAGAAATTCTTCCCAATATCCAATCTAAATCTGCCCTCTGTCAATTGTCTCCAGCAGTATACCATGACCCTGGGATAAATATATTTTGATTTAGTTCCACATATCCCATGACAATTTTATTTTAAAAAAGACTAGCACATTTATTGAAATCAGTTCTCTAAGGAAATATTTTTCAAAAAAAAACTCAAGCTAAAAGGTAAACACCAATCAATACTACAATAAGTTAAGAAATGTCAGAGCTCTAATTAAATGACTGATTATTTGGGGCTATATGTAGACTGACAATAATCCTATACTCAGTAATTATAGGCTCCTGTACATTGTACCTTAATTAAAAAAAAAAAAATAAATGAACCTTCATACAACTTAAGACATTAAAGCAAAGTCAGAGCCTCTACAGAGATACCCAGCATTTTATGTCTGTTACAATTTAGCATTTAACATTTAATGGTTTTTTGTATATGGAGC